AAAAAAAAAAAAAAAAAAAAAAAAAAAAAAAGTAAAAAAAAGATATGTTATGAAGAAAAATAAATTAAACAAGATTTGTCTTAGCATTACATCCAAATTCCTTACCAAATTTGAAATAAAAATAAAATACCAAAAACAAATACTCATAATAAAAATAACAAAAAATAAAAAAAGAATTAAGTTAAGCAAGTGCGTGAGCACGTTTTCGACACCGCCATCTTTGGCGATTTTTTTTTTTTTTTGGCATAGCTAAATGCCCTGAAAATTTACAGATGTGTACTTCACATAATGCAAAACCCACTAAAAAAGTTTCGAAAAATAATAAAATTGTTTAGACCCTGAACTAAAGTGAAAACCAAAAGTAAAAAGTGAAAAAAAACGTGGGCGAGCACGTTTTGAGACCGCATCTTTGGCGATTTTTAATTCTTCTTTGGCTGAGCCAAATGACTTGAAATTTAAAGGCATGTACCTCATGTCCTATGATAAATTGGGTATCTGGCCGGATAATCTGGTCGGATTATCTGGTCGGATGATGGGGGGGTAGGATCATCCGGAAATCCGGATGATTAAAAAAAAGGCCAAAAAAAAAGCAAAAAAAAAAATTAAAAAAAAAATGATATTGCGCATGCAAAATACAGTAGAACTACATTCCTATTTCATGAAAAGCTTGATAGGGCATTGAAGGGTTCAAAAGGGGTAAGATAGGGAATAAAGGGGTTTAGAGGGGGGATGCTTAATTCATTCTATAATTTTTAAATTTAATATTATTTTTTTCTTCTGTTTTATTTTTTATCTTTATATCTGTTGAGATATCAAAGATGACCTCAAGCCAAATGTTGTTCGTATCATTCATTCTGAACAACATACGTTTTTTCCAGATTTTTTGAAAATTTGTTTTTTTTGGTAAAAAAAAATATTTTGCGCAGGGCCGGATTTTCCATATCCGGAATTAATCCGGAAAATTCATCCAGATTGAAAATTCCGGATAAATTTGGTCTGCCGGATATCCGGAATTTTATCATAGCTCATGTCATAGAAAACTCATAAAAAAAATTCAGAAAAAAAAAAAAAATTTGAGGCGCCGAAATAATTTTGGGTGGGGGTCGAACGCTGTCAAGTTCGGACCTCGTACGGGACCCCGAACGCCCGTACGTATGGAGGTCTGCCCGGGGACCTCCGTACGTACAGGCTGGTGACCCTATATATATATGACGATATATATAGGGTAACCGGCGATCGGGACGGGCCGAACACCTGAACCTGAACGCCCGAACGTATAGGACCCCTTGGGGATGCGTTCGGCTATTCGGGCCGAACGCGGACCCGAAAAAAAAAAAAAAAACCAAAGTTCATCAAAAAAATCTGAAAACAATATATGTTATGGAGAAAAATAAATTAAACAAGATTTGCCTGAGCATTATATCCGAATTCCTTACCAAAGTTGAAATAAAAATAAAATACGAAAAACAAATAATAATAATAAAAATAAATAAAAATAAAAAAAGAATTAAATTTAGTGAGTGCGCGAGCATGTGTTCGACACCGCCATCTTCGGCGATTTTTCATTTGTTTTTGGCATAGCTAAATGCCCTGAAAATTTACAGATGTGTACTTCACATAATACAAAACCCACTAAAAAAGTTAAAAAAAATAATAAAATTGTTTAGACCCCGAACTAAAGTGAAAACAAAAAGTAAAAAGTGAAANAAAGTTAAAAAAAATAATAAAATTGTTTAGACCCCGAACTAAAGTGAAAACAAAAAGTAAAAAGTGAAAAAATACGTGGGCGAGCACGTTTTGACACCGCCATCTTTGGCGATTTTTAATTCTGATTTGGCTTAGCCAAATGACTTGAAAATTTACAGGCATGTACCTCACAGAGGATGATCGCGTGGCTGCGGTCGAAACCGGTCGGGGAGCCATACCCAACCGGCATGCAATCTTTGTACATGTGTGCTTTTGTACTCTTGTACTGGAATATACATGAGCTTTTTGAACATGTGTCTTCGATGCTGCGTTGATTGGCTTGTGAATCTTCCTCACCGAATCAGTTATCTATTGAAGGCCCGTGTGAACCCGCTTGGAAGACGCCGAGTGAGCGTGAGCACGTTTATGGTTTGACATGAGTATGTTGTGGGATGCTATGTGCATGAAGGAGTTTACGATACTGGAAGTTTAGCCGACGTTATAGTGCTTTTGGACGAAGTCTGTGCAAGCGTGTGGTGACTTGAAGCTCTTCTGGATTTTGATGAAGGAGTTTGGTGAGATTCGTGTGTTAAGATCATTATGATTTGGAGTTCTTGCGGATATTGCCGTCGGTGTTGGTTGGATTCTTGTGAGAAGACCGCTTGCTTTCGTTTGTAAGTTGGTCACGCAGCTTTGCCGAAGGACGCAGTTGGGTACTGCGCGGACTGTGGTTCATGTTGCAGTGGCCGGTTTTTATTTGACCTACTACTTGGAGCGGCGGTGGCGGCATGGGCTCGAATTATCGAGATCATGGGCGTGACGATCGTCGGGATCGGAGTTGGGATAGAGGACGGAAGTTGGGAGGATACGATGGAGGACGTGACCGACGGGGCGAAGGGCGTAGGGAGCGATCTATGGAAAGGGAAGCTCCAGCTACACGGGTCAGAGGGAGGCACCTAACCGGTTTGCACCGGTTTGTTTTGAATGTGGAGAGCCTGGGCATTATAGGAACCGGTGCCCGAAGTTGGGACGTGATGGTACCTCGAGAGTAGTCGGTCAACATGGCAGGTCGCTTTCGTCACGGCAACAGTTACGACACCCCGAGCCGCGAGCTTCTTCAGAAGATCCCGCTGTTAAGTAGATAGAGGAATTAGTCGCGTCTATGGCAATGATGAAGGAGGTGTTCGACGTGAAGACAACAGCTAAGGAAGAAAAGAAGAAGAAGAAGATGGCGAAGTTGGAGAGTAAAAAGAAGGAGGAGGAAGATGCCCAAGCGGCCGAGGAAGCACGTTTAGCCAACCAGAGGCGTGCGGAAAGGAAGGAAGCAAAGTTGCGTAAGGAAGAGGAGGACCGGCAGTTGTTGAGGAAGGAGTTGCTCATAGAGCTCTCCCTTCGCATGGGACAGTTGGATGAGTCTCTTCAGCGTCGCTACGAGCGGAAAGTCATGGAGCGAGCCAAAGGCAAGCATAAGGTTATAGTCTCATCTTTCGATGATGACGACACGGATTCCTATGAAAGCGAGGTGGAATCGCTGAGTCGTAAGACCGAGAAGCTTGTCATTTCGGAGAAAAGGAAACGAGGAGCCAAGAAGCAGGTTGGCGACAGCCCGCCGATGGTAATACCAGCGAAGCGAACAGCCAAACGAAGACTCCAGCTCGGTTGTCGTCATCAGTCAATGAAGAAGACACCTCCACGTAAGACACCGGCCACGGGCCGGAGGAAGATCCCGGCCGCCCCGGGTACAATCGGGAAACTCAAATTTGTGACAGACAACTTGAGGGAATTGGGTGATATGACCGTGGAAGAATTGAAGAAGATCTGCCAGACAGAAGACGTGGAGTACGAAGGTAAGAAAATGCAGGTGATTCTGGCTATTGCCGAGAAACGCACGCATATCGCTTATGGTGATGAGGAGGCGAAGGGTCAGGGGGAGGAAAGGGGGGAGAATCAAGTGGACCATGGCGGAGATGAAGACGTGGTGGAGGATAGCTATGCATGAACGGATAGTAAGTTGTGGGCTCTCTGCAATTGTCTGATTGCTTCACATCGGGAGAACATTTACGGTGAGGCTGTTGAAGTTATTTACAAACTTGTTATTATCGCGCTGACCTTAAGCTACCACATTCGCTGGATGATGAAATGTGTCGTATCTTGGGTTGAGCTGTATAAGCCATATGGGATTGAGTGCTTTACAAAAGACTGTGGAGGGGTTTATGTTCTTACCTCTCCTTTATGTCGAGCTCAATACGTGGGGCAGACTGGTAGAAATGGGAAGACGCGATGGAAGGAACATATTTCGGAATGTAAACGAGGCAGTAAACAGACTCATCTGTACAGATGGTGGAGGGTGTTTGGGTTTGAGTCCTATGTTATGATTCCCATTGACCGCTGCTCGTGAGCAGATTTGGTACTGATGGAGGACATGTTCATTCGGCGATGGTGTCTGACTTTAAATTCTACGGATAGGACCAAGGTTCGCGAAGGGGTCGGGCGGAGGAGGAAGGGACGACATGAACGTGGGAAGAAGTCGTCACCGAAATATGCATCCTCAAAACCTGAAGTCGTCATTCCTATCAGAGCTAGGCTAAGTGACAGGGATGACTGGAGTGCCAACTGCTTTCATATCCTATTAGCGCGAGAGGAGGCAGGTTGTAGTCGGTTCACCTAACGCTTCAGTGGAGGAAATTGTTGGTGTGGCGGTTGAAAGTCGATTCGATCAAGTTTTGGTAACTTGGAGGTTAAGATCGATGGTCGACGCTGTAAGTCGTACACGTGTAAGCAAGAGATGGAAAAGGTTGTGCAGGTGCAAGGAAGGAATAGGACGTAAGGCGCCGGCGCAGGGGAAACGTTGCCGAGTTAGGTGGGTCACTAGGAAGTAGCGGCAAGAGGGCCACAAGCTAAGTAGGGACCCGCGTAAGACCGAAAGAAGAAGTGGTGCCGGCGGAACAGAGTGTCGGGGACCACGTGAGACCTAAAGAAGATGTCGTACCGGCGGGACGAAGTGTCGGGGACCACGTGAGACCAAAAGAAGATGTGGTACCAGCGGGACAAAGTGTCGGGGACCACGTGAGACCAAGAAAAGATGTGGTACCGGCGGGACAAAGTGTCGGGGACCACGTGGGACCACGTAAAGATGAGGTACCAGCGGGACAAAGTGTCGGAAACGGCGTAGGACCAAGCAAAAATACGACACTAGCATGGGACTAGTGTCGGGGACCAAGTGGGGTCGAGGAAAAAAAATGCGGTACCAGCAGGACCACCGGCGGGACCACCGGCGGGACCACCAGCGGGACCACCGGCGAGACAGGACGGGTACCGGAGGAACTAGTGTCGGGACTAGTGTGGGACAAGTGGCGGGGACCGGTGGCGTTCCTAGGAAAAATGGCGGAACGGCGTGTGATGCACAAAAAAATAAAACGAGCGGCACCGTCAAGATCGGAGATCTTGACGGCCAAATTTATTAGCGTCACTAGTGCAAGCACTAGTGGGAGCAAGTGGGAGGGCAAAAAGAAAAATAAAAAGTAAAGAAACAAGTGGTGGGAGGCATGGGAGCAATCCAAAAAATCTCGGATTGGCCTCCCCCAAGAAAATAGGGCCAAAGGGAGCCAACACGAGAAAAATAGGCTCCTAGAAAAAAAAATCGGTGCAAGGGGGCCTACCGTTTGGGAGAGGGGGGGACTAACGGTGGCTCCCAAGGGCATGAAAGGACCACAATTGCAGTCTGAAAAATAACGGACTGGCCCTTGGGCATAGGAAGAGCCAAAACTAAGAGGGAGAGGCAACAAAAGGGCCTTAACGGCTAGTTGACACTTGGCATGCAAAAAGAAAAAGAAAAAGAAAAGAAAAATGAGGGAGAATGAGACAAGGAGGATGAGAGGGAGTGAGTGAGTTGGCCGTTAGTAGGGACTGCAGCAAGTAGGGACTGCCAAGTCCCTACTGTCCAAGAAAGGAGGAATCTTCCGCGAACGCTGCTAGCGCTAACTTGCGCTACAGACTGACTGACAAGGCCCGGTCGCACTCCGTGGACTGGCGCAGCGGTGGCGAGTGTCATCGTTGTATTTGGTCATCCTGGTGTCCGCCCGACGACATGGCCTAGGCGTAGGTGGGGTTTTCCACGTGGCACTGTACGGAGACGGCACGTCGGCATGAAGAAACCAAGCTTACTTTAAGGAGGCAGCGTGGCTGGTTGAGGGGCGGCTTCAACATCATAGTCAGTTACAATATCAAGACCAATGACAACAACGGGCTCGACTATGACTGCACCGACAACACAGATGGAGATGGTGGCGGCGCCCATGCAGAACGCTGTTGCTGCAGCCTTGCGCGGAGAAGAAGGAAATGTGCTGGAGATGGTGAGGTTGTATAAGCTACAGATGGACGAGATCTACGCCGTGCTGATTCAACATCGACATGATCTCCCAGCGGAACTCTTGGGGGAGGGTGAGGAGTTGCTGAGTGGTTGGGAGGAGGAGCTCTATGTAAACCTCCCGTCCTATCGGTTGGGCGCGATTGAAGAAGCACAGGTGATGCTAGAGTTGGGTGGGTGCGCTGAAGTGTTGGAGAAAGTGAGGGGAATCTTCGTGGAACTCTGGGGGGGGCTGTATGTGAATACAAGGCCTGAAGATACGATTGAGCGCGGCTGCGCAGGGCCTGAGAAGGGGCAGGTGCTGCAGGCTAGGTCGCAGGATCGTTCGATTGAAGTGCATGCCGCTTGTATTTCGGCCACTTTCGAGGAGAGTGCAACTGACCGTGGGAAGTTTGAAGAGGGGCAGGGTTTTTGCGGCGTGTTGAAGGAGTGCTTGATCGTAGGTGACGAAGATTGTCTGCCAAAGGAGGGAGGGGATATCTCCATAGGTGAGGATCATCACAGCAACAACAACAACAATAACAACAACAACAACAACAACAACAATAATTATGACAGCAATTTCATCCAGGAAATGGACGATGAGTTTAGGTCATGTGCTGCGCAGGACTCGAATGATGCAAGCACAAATGACGTTCAACTTCTGGGTATCGTCTGCAACAAGGATAACAACAACAACAACAACAATACGGACAAAAGCTACGTCACCAACGGCGAAAACAACAGGTGTTTGGATAAATATGGTGACGGGGAGATTTGTGCCTGTTGCGAGGATAAAAATAGAGGCGACAATAACAATAACAGCATAGTTGCTGCCCTTCGAGTGTGCTTCCAGGCCAACTACGGCGCCAGTGGTGAAGGTAAGGTTGTTGGGAGGGCTATGGTTTCGCGCATACTCACCATGGTTTTGGACTTTCAGCGCGCCCGAAATACTACGAAAGTCTCGCCATGGGATTTGGGAGCGGTTTGGGGGGTGGGTTGGGGGCGGTGCTGTTGGGAAGATCTCGCAGGCGATTATGTGAATGTGGAATCTGCGCGAGTGGGGGTGGGATAGGAATGATAAAGGGTGGTTATCTATAAGGGGGATGCAGGGCATGCTTGGCAGTGTAGGCGGGGGGTGGGATCTGCGCTGTTCGGATGTGCTTTGCGGTCCTTTGCAATAATAGATTGCGATATTAGATCGCCACGTGCCAGGTATTCCACAAAGATGCGATGAGTTCGACTTTTGCCACGTGGATGGTGATACTGATCTGTTCCTTGGTTTGAAGGTTCCTCCCTCACACGGTCTGTTTACTGGCGAAAGTTGTTTAGTTGAGATGAGGGTTTCCAAACTGGGTGATGACGTGGCGACTGTGGGGGGGGGAAGGAGGTGGGTCGGGTTCATTAGGTGATTGGATTTTGTTATCCTGATTTCATTACCTTTTCCCCTCACGGTGTCATTAATTGAAATTCTAAAGCCCTACTTTGATTACCTCTTCCCCTCATGGAGCTTTACTATCTACTTAGAAGAAACTGAGGGCTGCAGAGTAGGGAGGAGATTTTTCTGACGATGAAAGGCAGTCAATCCCCTCAGTACAGCGTAATCAATGCTGCTAATGACATGAATGGAGCGTGACACCGTGCTGGTTCGTTAAGTGTCAGGGATTACAGTGCAATGGACACGTGGCATATAATAACGATTTGCGAATGTTTACAGGGACACTGGACCCGGTTTCCAGCAGGTGATGCTTCCCACTAATAGATGGAGCCTCCCCGAGCTTGCTAGTGGTGTCTGCTCTTATCAG